AATTGGGATTAACACAGATGTGCTAAGATGTCTGCTTGATTAAATTGGAACTTTAAGGATCGTTTTGCCTTGGACTCTGATTTCATTCTACATTTGGAACGGTGACACCAGGCTTACTAGATGTTGGAGGACATGATGGAATCGCCTTAATTCACCACAGATTGGCAGACTTCACTTTAGTTTTCCATTAGGAAGGTGGTGAGCATCCTAGACTAACCTAAATCCCCCCCCCCAAAAAACCCAGGGGATTCTTGGAAGCCTGGCATTCAGACAAATCGGCCATCGACTGGCACATAGAGATAAACAACGGTTAGCCACCTTTCAAAAGAGACAATGAAAAAGCTAAAAAGGAACCAAGAAGATGAAACTACCTTCTTGATGACAATCAACACACAAATAGGACAGCCATTAACACCAGGATCATGACCTGACAAATGCGTGCCCAACAACAGCACGCCATCAAAACTGCGGCGATAAAACTGCAACACCGACAGCGTGCCCACAAAGGCGCGCCGACGAAAGAGCGCCGACAGAAGCGCGATTAGGTTTAAGGTAAGGGTTACGGTAAGGGTAAGGGTTAGGGTTAGGGTTAGGTTTAGAGTGCGCTTCTGTCGGCGCGCTGTTGTCGGCGCGATTTCAAACTCGCGGTTTTCTCGCCATGGTTTCGTCGGCACGCTTTTGTCGAGCGTCATTTGTCGGTGAACCCACCAGGATTAAGACTAAACCAACAACCAAGCCATAAACAACACCTCAATCAAGGAACTACCATCTCCGACTACCGATCCAGCAGTAAATAACAGCCTGATTAAGGAATCATCAAGAATCATCAAGACTTTCAGCATCTCGCTCCCTTTTTCTTCTTCACCCAACATCTGGAAGCATGTGACCCCCCCCTTTTCTGTTCGAGCCACGTGGTCCTGTCCACCATTAAACCATCTTTCCAAGCAGCCTCCATGTTTCCAGTGTCTTTTTCCCCCCCACTTCGAGCTGAATCCAGGTGGACACTCTTTCCGACATCGCCATGAAATGGTAAGCATTATAAATTCCCGCGCATCCCCGCCAGTCTTCGAGGTGGCAAATCAATCAATCAATAATTTTAAAAAAACCCCAACCTTTATAAAACTAGCTTGGCCCTTTTTGTGGTGTTGCGTGACCCAATTCCACGTTAGAGAAGAGCCTAAAAATAAGCAAGCATGAATTATCTGGAAAAAAAATAATTCATCTGCCTCTCCAGCCCCGGGCTCTGGAATTGTTTGGCTTGGCCTTAATTAAAGGCGTGAGTCATTTTGACAGATTAGAAAACTGCCAAATTCTGCAGGTACATCTGACTATCCAGAGTGAAAAAGAGGGAGGGAGGGAGTGGAGGATGGGGCATTTGCACCCGGAAGGACCACAGATCTAATAGCAATAGCAGTTAGACTTATATACCGCTTCATAGGGCTTTCAGCCCTCTCTAAGCGGTTTACAGAGTCAGCATATCACCCCCACAGTCT